ACAGGTTCTTGGAGAGGGTCATCATGCTTGGGAGGGTGGAAGGACAGTGAAGGAGGGGAAGACCCTGTGTGAGGTGGATTGATTCAGTGACTGGAGTAATCAGGATGTGTCAGAGGCAGTGCAATTGGCACAGGATAGAGCAGCATTTAGGGCTGTTGTACATAGGGTCGCTATGAGTCGCAAACAACTCAACAGTACATAACGACAACAACAACAACAACAGGTTCCATTGAGTTGATTAAAACTCATAGTGACCCATGAAGAACAGATCTGAACCGTGTCTTATTCTGCACCATCTTCATCTTCCCTGACACTTGAGACCATTGCCACGGTCACCAAATCAATCCATCTTATTGAGAGTCTTTTTCTCTTTCACTGACCTTTCCAAGCATAATCTCCTTTTCCAAGGAATACTCTCTCTATAAACATGCCCACGGTATGTGAGACAAAACCTTGCCATTCTTGCCTTTACGGAGTACTCTGGCTGTACTTTCTCCAACACTTACTTGTTCCTTCTTTTGACAGCCCATAGGATATTCAGTACTCTTCTCTAACATCATGACTTAAAGGCATGGATTCTTCATCCGTCATCCCTATTCATTGTCTAACTCTCAGCAGGTGATTGGAAAGACCATAGCTTGAGTCAGACACTTCTTAGTGTTTAAACTGCCATCATTGTTCTTCAGAACTTTGAAGGTCTCTGACAGCAAACTTTCTCAACGGTATGTCTCCTGTCTTTTGATCTCCTAATTGCTGATACCAAGAGTATTGTTTGTAGATCCAAATAAGATAAAATCATTGACAATTTAAATCTTTTGTCTTTTTTTTTTTAACATGACAAACTGTTAAAATTTCCCAAAATGTCAATAATGAGGAATTTTGTTTTCTTGATGTTGGCTGTAATACATATTGAAGGCTGTAGTCCATGACCTTCTATAGCAAACACTTCAAATCTTGCTTGCTGAAAGCAAAGATTGTGTAATTTTTATGAGACAGGCTGTTGATGAGTCTTCCTCCAACCCTGATGACACATTCTTCTTTATAAAGTTGAGACTGCTTTTAAGTCTAATTACTCCTGAACTATACAAAGACCAGGAAACAGAGAAATGCACACATGAAGAAAACACCTTATGAAATCAGTTGTATGGCAGATGTATCTAAAAGCCCAGGAATGCCCAGGATAATCAGCTTCTAGAAGCAAAAATAGACAAAGAGGAGCCACTTTCCTAGCATCATTCCCTAAATTTTAGCTTCTAGCCTCCTAAATGGTAAGAAAATATTTTTTTAAGTTGCCCACTTGTGCTATTTCTGTAAAGGAGATGCACTAAGAAACTAAGACATGTGAGCTTATCACAAATACCCAATGTCTTACTTCCTTTTGTTCACTATAAAGGGTTGTACTTCCTTATTCCCTAGGGAGCTCTGGTGGCGCTTACATTGTCAATCGAAAGGCATGTGGTTTGAATCCACCAGCTGTTCTGCAAAGGAAATATGGGAAATCTCCTCCTGTGTCATTTACTGCCTCTGAAAACCTGCTGGAGGGTCAGCTATGGGCTGGCTCTGACTAGAGAGTACACAGCAACAACATTCTCTTTGAAGCTATATTGTCCATATGACTTATTTGGCCAAATAAATGTGATGGAGAAACCACTGCGTCAAAGCTCACTGCTTGTGACATCCTTTGAGCTACAGGATGACAACTATGAGATGACAACAGAAAAAAGAAGACAATGGACTCAAAGAAGAATTACCTTGTTCTCTCTCATTAGTGCCTCTTCTACTTCCTGACGACTGTGTTCTCCAATGTACCAGTCATGGTGTTGAACATCCTGCAGCCCAGGTTCAATAATCAATATTTTAGGTCAGTTAAGAAAAACCAATTCATCCACCCACCCATCCATACTTCTAGAAGCCTATCTATCCAAACTCCTTCCCATCTGCTCATCCACCCACCCACCCACTCATCCATTCAATTATCCTCATCCGTCCAGCCATCTATCCATCCATCCAGCCATCCAAATACCCATTCAACATTCACTTCTTTTTCATCAATCCAATTATAATTTGATTTATAATAGATATGCAGTAAGTCAAATCCCCTCCATGAACCTAGAAAAGCCCACAGATGCTTTGGAAAGATGGATACAGAAATAGTTATTGTTATTGATATTTTAGTGCCTTCAAGTTTACACCAAATGGTAGTGACCTTAAATATAATAGAATGGATTTTTTCCCTGTCTGTCATAATCTTCACTCTTGTTGATATATTTGAGTTCATATTTTCTCTCTTGTGTCCATATATCTCGTGGAGGGTTGCTCTTATTATCACGGACCTTCTATTTTATGAACAATGATGCACTTTTCTAGTCCTTATCCAAAGTAAATGCGCCAAAGTTTTGCCCCCTCACATCTAAGGAGAATTCTGGCTGTATTTATTTTAAGAATGATTTGGATTATTTTGTTTTAAAAAATAATCACAACTTGGAAATTATGAACTTTACTGGCTAGCTTAAGACAGTCTGCCTGTCGTTGGAAGTAGCTAGATATTTCACTCCATCAGTTGATGAATGGCTCCTAACCATCACTCTGGGAATGAATGGGTGATAAGCCTTCAATCTATCACTGCTTTCTGAAGCTGCGCTTGCCAGTACTTGTGAAGGTGGATGTCACACATGAAGGATTTGAGATTTGTACTGTCGTGTGTCTGTCTCTCTGATATTATTTATGTTATTTTATTTCTATTTCTTTTAAATTGTTGTAAATATGTTTCTTTTGACATGCACAACATGAAAGCAGGGAGAAAGAAGGGGAGTCAGTGAGATGTGTCATAGATCTATGATTCCTTCACAGAGACTTGGATGGTCACTAGGTCATGGTACACGTAGTATGCTCTGGTTTTATTTGTTTGACTTGAAAAACCTCTTAGATATATTAGTCATATGCCTCTGTAAGTGTGGGCCTGAGTGATGACTGGTGTATTAGATGATGCTCCAACACAGCACTGAGAAAGCTTAAAATCACTGCGCTGTCGTCAGCTCCCTTTCCATTCTCCTTCAGTCCCTCAGTACCATTCTAGACGAATATTTCATTTTGGTGTCATTATACCCTTATATATCTCAGACATTTCTTTTGGTAGGATTGCCATTTTCACAACATTGAGTCTTCCTATCCAAGAACAGGGAACATCTTCTAATTTATTTAGGTGTTTTATTGTGTTTCTCAGAAATGTTCTGTAGTTTTCTTTGTACAGGTCTATGGTTTCTGTAGTTAAGTTCACTGCCAAGGATTTCAATTCGTGATTGGCTATTGTAAATGATATTTCTTTCTCGATTTCCTTCTCTGAGTTCTCTCTGTTACTGGATATTGATCTTGTATCCTGCCACCCTACTACCATCCCGCCTTGGCTCTAATGCTTTGGTTTGTTGTTTTGGTTTTTTTTTTTTTTTTCTCTAGTTTTAGTTTTGTGTGGTTTTTTTTTTTTTTTTTTTTAATTGAGTCCTTGGGGTTTTCTGTGTAACTATCATATCATCTGCATATCATGACAGTTTAACCATCTCTTTGCCAATCTGGATGCCTTTTATTTCCTTCTCTTGTCATATTGCCCTAGTAAGTACTTTCAAGCATCAAGTAGAAGTGGTGACAATGGACATCCTTGTCTCAGACATTTCTTGTCACTCCCTTTCAAAGATGAAGAGCAAGTCTTAGGTGGAGAACCTTTAGCAGCAACAGGGTTCTGCTGCAAATATAACTTCTTTGTTGTCTTTTGCACTATAATTATTTATAAAATTACTTTCTATCCATGGTTTGTAATATTGTCATTTAACAATTTATGGCTGTTGCTGTGTACTGTAGAGTTGGAACCGACCCAAAGCTGACCATCCGGTGGGTTTTCAGAGGCAGAAAATTGCACAGGGGGAGATTGCTCATCTTTTTACCATGCAACAGCTGATGGATTCAAACCATGTGCCTTCAGGATTGCAGCATAGCTTCCTGTCACTAGGCCACCAGAGCTCCCTTTAAAAACTTAGAATATCAAATCCACCAGATGCTCTGCTGAAGAAGGAGGGACTATCTCCTCCTGTACCAGTCAGATCCGATTTGACGGTACACATATTAAAAAAAAAAGTAATTGATAAAAAAACCAAAAAAACCCATAAAAACTTAGAGTAGCAATATAAAATTTTCCCTAAAAAATATTATATGTGTATGTAAAAAGAATCAACTTAAAGCATTTTAAGTAAATATTAGGATCAAGAATATATAAATACATTGTTGTTGTTGTTAAGTGCCATTGAGTGGCCTGTGACTCATAGTGACCCTATGTACAATAGCTCTGAACTCTGCCATATCTTGAGCTAGTGTCACTGACTCAGACACACCCAATCCCGTTACCCCAGTCACTGAATCAATCCATCCCATCCAGGGTCTTCCTGCACTCTCTTTCTTGTACTGTCCTTTCAACTTTCCAAGCATGACGTCTTTCTTCAAGGAGTGGTCCCTTCTGGCCACATGCCCAAAGTATGTGAGATGAATCTTCAAAATACTTGCCTCCAAGAAGCAGCTTGGTTTTACCATGTCCAGGACAGACCTGTTTGTTCTCTGGGTAGTCCATGGTATGTTCAATACTCTTCTCCAGCACCACATCAAAGGCATCAATTATTTCTCTATTATCCTTAGTCATTGTCCAGCTCTCTGATGCATGACAAGTAATTACAAAGACCATTCCCTGGATGAGGCACCCCTTAGTGTCCAGACTGATATCATTGCTCTTCAATATTCTGGAGAAGTCCCTGACAGAAGATTTTTCCCAATGCAATTCATCTTTTGATTTCCTGGCTGCAGGTGCCAAGAGTGTTGACTTTGGAACCAAGCAAGATATAGCTGTTAGCAATCTCAGTTTCTTCTCCATCTATCATGATGCTGCTAATTGGCCCAGTGATGAGAATCTTTGTTTTTTGATGTTGAGCTTCAATCTATAATGTAGACTGCAGTCTTTGACCTCTATAACAAACACTTCAGAGCCTCTTCATTTTAAGCGAGCAAGGTTGTGTCACCTGCATAACGCAGGTTGTTGATGAGTCTTCCTCCAATCTTGTTGCCACATTCCTCTTCAAAGAGTCCAGCCTCCAGAATGATCTGTTCTGCATATAGATTGAGAAGCTATAGTGATAGCATGAATCCCTGATGTACACATTTCCTGACCCTGAACCATGTAAGGTTTTATCTCTCTATTTTGACTACTGCTTCTTTGTCAAAGGAGAGATTTTACATGAGCAAAATTAAGTATTCTGGAATTCCCATCCTTCTCAAGATTAGTCACAATTTGTTGTGATCCACACAGTCAAATGCCTTTGCAGTGAAAGACAGATATTACTTTGGTACTCTCTGCTTTTGGCTAAGATCCATCTAAGATTGGCTATGTTGTCCCTAGTGCCAGGGCCTCTTCTAAAGCCAGCTTACACATCTGGCAGCCTGGTGCTGATGTACTGTTCCAGGCATTTTTTATAATCTTCAGCAGGATCTTTCTTGTGTGTGATATTAGTAATATTGTTTTTAATTTTCACACTCTATCAGGTCACCTTTTTATTCAAATAGATAAAATAGGGAAATTCTGAAGTGTACAAGCCTCTCTCAGGCTCTGAGAGGGTGCTTTATTTTGTATAGATATCTAGTTCAAACCCAGAAATCCTAGTATTTCTGAAGAAGAACACAGAGGGAAAAGAAGCCGGACATATTAAGCCACACCCCACCGCCTCTGCAGTCAGGTTGATTCTGATTCAGGTTGACTCTATCAAGTCCCCGAGGAAGTAAGCCTTAATGGGGAATGGTGTGTTGTGAATCTCTCAGTTCCAGCTGAACCTTAGGACGGCCTGTCGTGTCTTGAGGAGGGACAGATATGAGAAGCTCAGGGCTCTTACAGCTTTCTTTCATCCCAAGTGGATGTCAGCAGAGGGGATTTGCCAGATTAACTGGAGGTCTCTGGCCCAGAGTACACTAGCATTTGGGCATTCTGGAATTGTAAATACTGAAATATTTGGCCATGAAGTGGTCTGTCCACTTGCTGTACAGAGGTAACTTGTGGTTGCTGTTATGCTAAACACTGTGACACTGATGTGCCAAATACAATAATGGTTGACAGTGTTTGATGGAGCTCCCCGATTAAAACAAGCTTGGAAGCAGGATGGCATCCACTTCCAAAATAGCTTGCCTCTAGAAATCCTATAAACTTGGAAACGATGGAAGTTATACAAGTGTTCAAGGTTTTCATTCATAGGGTCTCTATGAGTTGCCTACGACTTGACGTTACTTAACAACAACAACAACAACAGCAACTATCAAGTTCCTGAGGATATAAGTTCATCTTTACTCTGCAGAGTGTCTGCAGAGGATTTGAACTACTGACCACTGTTCCTCTAGGGGCTCACCACTTTACCTTGTACACCTCAGGATGCCCAAGCTCATCGCTGTTATTATTGTTGGGTGCTATTAAATCAATTTAAACTCAGAGTTAGCTCAGTACAGCAGAATAATCCTTACCCAACCCCGCCTGTCCTCACACTCTTTGCTTTACTTAAGCCTATTGTTGCAGTCATCACGGTGTCAATACATCTCACTGAGGATCTTCCTCCCCTCTCACCCTTTGCTAGAAAGTGCCCCAAATTATGTGAGAAATATGTGAGACTGAAAAATCTCACCATTCTTGCTTCCAAGGAACACTCTGGCTTCACTTCTTCTTGGGCACATTAAAAGAGGCATGGGAATAAAATTCTTAAGGTCTAATTTAAGAGCATGTGGCTCCTTTTGGAATTGAGGTTAAAATTAATATTAAGATAAAGTAAAGGGTAACAAGAGATCTTTAAGATACTATAGGAATTATGCAGAGTCGACTCCAGTTAGCCTATATACTGTACTGCTGCTGAAAACCCATGAATTCTTCATCAGAATTGGATGGAGACACAGAGTAAGTGCATCTTTCAGTGCTTTAGAGGGTAAAACTTCAACAAGTATTGTAAGAAGGCAATGGAGAAGAAAGCATATGATCTATATAGAAAGTTTTACTCATATTTGGGCACAAAATAAGAAGAACAGATGCAGTGTGTCTTTTAAAAAGACCAAGAAATAGAAGTGGGCTGACAAGAATATAGCTATTATTTCCTTGGACAATTCTCTTCACAGAAGATCATAACCTCTGTCTCATTGTGTGGTACATAATAGGTGTTCAAGAAATTAGTACTGATTGTTCAAATGAAAATATCCATCAACCTGTCTAGCATTTGATAGAAAAAGAAGTGCAAACATGTAAACCCACATTAGATTATTGAACAACATGTAAATATAAATCACATGCTTAAATCTCTCTCTTTTTAAAAATGAATGAATTATACTTTGACAATCTGCTATTAGGCAAGTGGAAGAATCTGTTAAAAGAGGAAATTGTATTGAAAACAAACCAAAACCAAAATAGCCAGATAAATCAATTAACGTCAATCATCATGATTTCATTTTGGGTATAGTTCAATAAGCTGTGTGTTGACACTCGGGTCATCTAGAAAAGACTTGACAGAGAAGTGTCTGTTTTACCTTTTCATCCAGCCGTGTGGGGCAGCCAAGGTTTTTCCAGTTCATGTTTTTATAGGTTAGCTTATTCTCACGAGAAACATGGCTGACTGGAGACTGACATGGTTGAAGAGAATAAGACTGCAGGCTTCCTTTATGAACTCGAGGGGAAAAAAGGAAGAAATTCACATTGAAACATGATTTCATTATTGTCTCAGCTTGTCTCCTTCCAACATGGAACGTGCATCCATTCAGTCCTGCTGTTTCCGTGCGACTGTCTTTCCTCTTACATGAAAGACTGAAGTCAGCTCTGATTTGGTGTCTTGTCTCATCTCCTACACCTTCCATACTCTTTCTACAGGTCATCCAGAGGATGTCTTTAAAAATTTATCTGTGCCTTTCCTATTATTCCTGGCAAAAGTCTTTTTCATTTTCTTCAGACTGAAAGGAAAACCTCTTACTCTATTACTTCTGTTCTGTCAACTGAGTCAGGACTGATCTGTCTCTTCATTATCACCTTACTCCTGACATTGCTCGCCCGCCTCTGGCCATAATTAAATCTTTTCCATTTCTTAAACATGATCAACTTGCTTTCCAGCTCAGGGAAATGCCCTTTTTTAAAAAAACAAAAACAAGCAAACAGAAACCACACCAAAACTTAGAAAGAACTTGGTTTTTTTTTTAAGGAGATGAGAAACAATTCCTATTCATACTTGTGTGATTGGCAGATAAATTATTAAAATGAAGAAAATCCAGATTGCATGGCTAAGACCATAGCATCAGGACTGAGGAAGACTTGTTAACCTCCTGTGATACAGATGGCACAGCCTTGCATGCTAAAATGAAGCCAAATTGAAGCCCTCACTAACAAAGGTTAAAGATGGACGGCTTGGATTATGCTTGTTGTCAAAAACCAAAAGTCATTAGAATTGGGCTGGTAAATTTATCACACTAAGTGTGCTATCACTTATCACAATAAGTGGAGAAAAAATATTGAAGTTGTCAACAATTTCATTCTACCTGAATCAACCAGCAAGCAAGTCAGGAAATCAAATGACACACTGCTTTGGGCAAATCTGCTGTAGTTAAAAAGAGGATGAAAGTGTGCCCAACTCAAGTTTTTTTGGTCACCTCAAATGCATGTTAAAGTGGGACAATGAGAAAGGAACCCTGAAGAGCTGATGTATATGAAGTATTGGTGTAGGTGAGAAATATTGACTACGTTGTGTCAAAAGAACAAACACATCTTATAGGAAGTATATCAGAATGTGCCTTAGAAACAAAGATAATGAGTCTTTGAATTGCTTACTTTGAATATACCATTGAAAGGGAACAATTACTGGAGACGGATATCATACTCTATAAAATAGAGGGTCATCAACAAAGAGGCCAGACTGACACAGTGGCTTATAGCAAAAGCCTCACTGTCTCTGACACACCCACCCCGATTACCCCAGTCACTGAATCAATCCACCTTGTAGAGGGTCTTCCTCTCCTGTGTTGTCCCTCCACCCTCCCAAGCATGACATCCCTCTCCAAGGACTGGTCCCTCCTTGCAAGGTGTCCAAAGTATGTCAGACGAAACTTCCTTGCCTCCAAGGAGCAGCCCTTTTTCCATTAACAAAAGAATAGATTGAAAAATTGTGATACATTCACATGGTAGAATACTATACAGCATTCAGGATCAATTATTTTGAAAAGTACAGCATAACATGGGAAATGTTGGAGGACTGTGGATTTTAACGATGATTTTGAGGGTATTTGCTATAAGGAATTACATGTATCAAAGTGCTTGATTCAAAAAACTATGTCTTTTTCTTTGTGCTAAGTATACACTTTAGTGTAAAATATAAAATAATCCTTTTTTTAAAAAAATTATTTGCTTACAAAGTTCATATATATTGTATTTCACACTATTGTTAATTCACTTTGTGTTTTATACAATCATTCTCATGCATTATGTTTTATAAAATCAATAAATATTAGACCTTGCTCTTCATTGTTCTGTCTTTTCACCTGGATCCTTCCTATTTACTTTCCCCCCTCCCTCCACACACAAAACTGTGTAACCCTGTGGTTTGGCCCCTACCCATCCTCAGCCCTCCTCTGCTTGAGTTCCCATACATGTTTTACTAATTATCCTTCTGTTTTTATAATAATAATCTTATGTAGTATTTCTCCTTATGAGACTGAGTTAGTTTGTTCTGAAACCATCTTGTCATGTAACCCTCCTTTTCCTGAGCTAAGCCACCTGGAGATACAGCAGGTCTTACGAGGACAAAATCTTATAAATTGTCAGATGGGCAGATGCCAGCTGCAGGCTTGAGGGTCCCTCCTGGTTGACTGCTAGCTAATAGGATTCCTTCTGATGCCAATTGAAGCTGCAGCCTCTGTCCTGACCCTAACTACCCAAAACTAAGTCATGTCTCATTGATTTTGGATTGCCAGAGAGACTTCAGCTGCTGGTTTGGGTGAGTACCTAGCATCCTCACTTGTAACTTCCTGTCTGGATTCGGGGTTCTCCTGTATCCTTTCAGGATGTCTGCCACAAGTTCAGACTCTCAACTTTTCCTCACCTCTGACTCAAGTCACTGAGAGCTAGATCACATCTCACAAGTCAAAAGGGCACTGTCCTTCAGACTGCCAGGTGATAAGCGTCAAGTGTGGAGTTTAAATGGCGCCTACCTTCTGACTATTTGGGGAAGGATTTAGGGTTTTCCTCTCCCTTTGCAGGCTGTAAATTCAGGAGAGCCCCCACCTCACCCTTCAGAAACTCTCACTTTTGACCTTCTACCTCCCACTTCGATTTTGAGTTAGATGACTTGGTGGTATGGCTCCCTGGGCTCATGAAAGATGCTGTGTGTACAATTAATGATTTTACTGTAGGAACAAAGGCTGAAGAGATGTGCAGGGCCGGGCCTGGGAAGGTTTCCAGTGTTAAGTTCCAAGTCCCACAGGCTGCATTCTTTTCTCTTGTGCATTCATAACCAAGCAGAAGCTTACGGAGCTTTTATGTCCCGAGCCAGTGGCTTCATTGCATCCTTGTTTGATTGCATTAGCGTCTTTCTTCCCTGTTGTTTGGTACTGTCAAGTCAGACTCAAGTCACCCTCCAACAGGTTTTCAGAGGTAGTAAATCACATGGGAGGAGACTTCCCATCTTTTTCCTGTGATGCAGCTGGTTGATTTGAACCATAAACCTTTGCACTAGCAGAGCAATCCATTACCACTAAGCCTTCAATATGGATTGCATCTTAACATCAAGAAAACCAAAATCTTCACTACTGGATCAGTAGGCAACAATTCCATCTTACTTGAATCTACTGTCAATATCTTTGGTAAAAGCAGTCAGGAGCTCACATGTATAGCACAGGGATAGTCTGCTGTCAGAAACGGCTCCAAAGTCCTGAAGAACAACGATGTCAATTTAAAGACTATGGTGTGCCTAATTCAAGCCATGGTCTTTCCAATCACCTCCTATGCATCTGAGAGCTGGACAATGAATAAGGTTGATAGGAGAAGAATTGGTGTATTTATGTTGTGTTTTGGGAGAAGAGTAATAGCCTGTGGATTGCCAAAAAGTTCAAACAATTACGTCTTGAAGAAAGTGCATTTGGAATATTCACTGGAGGCAAAGATGGTGTAAATTCATTTCACATACTTTGGACACGTTATTAGGAGAGGCTCTTCCTTGGAAAGAAACATCATGCTTGGAGGGTGGAGGGTCAGCAAAGGAGAGGAAGACCCTCAACAAGATGAATTGACACAGTGACCGCAGCAGTGAACATAAATGCATCCAGGATGATAAGAGTGACATAGGGTACACATCTATTGCTCAAAGGGTCACTATGAGTCATACTTGATGGCACTTAACAACAAGCCAGTGGGTTTCCTCTCTTCCCCTGAAGTTGACTGATACCAGGCCACATGGTGGTCTTTTTGGTCAAGCCAGTCCCCACCCATTGGTGTGTTCTAAAGGATGACATAGCAAAGACCCTTTAAATACTCAGTACATGTCAAAGGTTTAGAGTTAATGCTCAGGAACCAGAGACAAAGGCTAAATTTCTTAGTGTAAAGTAATTCTTTACACCTCACTCACTTAAAGTTTAAATTATATCCACGATAGAGAGCTAATTCCAACCACTAATTCATAACTTTAGACATTTATCCTTTAAGTTTTAAATTTTATTTTATAAGTGGATTAGGGCTTAAGATCTGAAGTATGTGGCTTGTGGAAGGCTGAGGTTTGTAATGGAGCCCTAACTCCGTTTCAGTTCTTGACATGACCATGTGAGTTCTTTCTGACCAGCCATGGCTTTGTCTCAGGAGGCATGTAGATTAGGGTTCATTACAATTATTCCTTTTATCTCATGTGAAGCTGCGGGAAGGGAAGGCCAGACCAGGGTGCATTACAATTGCCTCATGAACCAGGGGGAAGGGCAGTTAACCCTCTGGACTTGCCCTGAGAAACAGACGACTTGCTGTGCAAGTGATTCAAGATTACCACGAGTCAAGCACCAAGCATCAAGGTGGTGGGAACCGCAGAATCAGAGTTGCAAATACTTTAATTTGTAGTTACAAAGTCCAGTCATCTTCTTCTGCCTGCCTCTATTCTCCCAACTGCAGCTGTCATGAATTGTAATTGGCTCCAGACTCTAACCGCCATCATAATCTGTGATTGTTTTCTTGATCTGGTGGTGTAGTGGTAAGACTGTAATGCTGAAGGCGCATGGTCTGAATCCACCTGCTCAGTGAGAGAAGGATGGACACTCTCCTTTTATGCAGTTTGCTGCCTCTGAAAACCCACTGGAGGGTCAACTGTAGGCCAGTTCTTACTTAATGGTGCACAAGTCTTAATAAATGTAAGAGGTGGCCATGATTCAATGGAACAGCTGCAGTCCTACACTGTGACTTCCCTCATCCCAGAAGGACCATTTGTCTTTGTTATCTTTATGTCTAGCGGACATGGCAGAAGAACTGAGGGGGGTCTCTGGGCCAGGGTTGGCCAGCATTTGGGCATGCCAGATAATGGTAAAATCCTGCAAGGTCTGGTCACGCCTTGTGTCTTGGGAGACTTAGTGTCAGCCACATGCGGCCTCTGGTTTCTTGGGGAGAGGCAGGTATGGTAGGCTCCGGATACTTGTGGCTTTCTCTGTGCACCAA